CTCGCTTCTACCACGTCCTGCACGTGGCCCAGAGCTTCGGAGACTACGAGAAGGTCTTTCGAGGAATGCACGAGAATTTCCTCAATATCAAGTTCAAGGATACCCACATGCAAGCTGTGAGCCTTCTGCTTTATCACCCGTGAATTTTGCACTCCTGCAGGTTTTCTTTGGCTTCTCTTGACATTTCTGGGATGTAAAGTGGCAATCACAGTTTGATTTGGTTGTGATTTAAATTTAATGTAAAAAACCTATATTTTAACTGGAATGATTTGGATTTGGATTGGTGATTGATTTAGATTCTAGTTAAAAATTCAAAAGATGGAGTAAAAGACTTTGGAAATCATTACAAATTACTTCCAAGAACATTCCTTTTTTATTTTTGGTTTCATTATGCTTGTAACCTTGAGTTGTCGTAAATCAGCCGTACCCAAATTTTGAATTTGATTTCGAAAGACTGGATGTGATGATTTCCAGGTGGCAGAGGGGATGGAATGGCTCGCCACGAGCGACATCCTGAACCGGGAAGTGCGGCACAGCCAGGTCTACAACCTCGTGGCGTACATGCCCTACGTCTGCGTCGCCTTCCACTTCCTCTTCTCTTCGTTGCAATACCCCAAGCTCTCCTTCCCGAATGCCCAATTCGAGGTGCTGCTCGCTCCTCTTTGCCCCTTCCTCCCTTTGAGTCTTGCCGTCTGGTGCACGTCGGGGCGTTGTCTTTCGTGTTGGATCCGTGTCTTGTATGTTCAGATGCTGCAGATGTATTAGAATCTGTTGGGATTGTTCTGATAATTGGCTATCATCAGCGCTGGCCCTAGGTTTTGTATAATGTACACTATTGGCCCAAAGAAAATTTATTGCTTACTGGACAATGTAATTATGTATTTTTTCCTGAATGTGCCATAATGTTTTCGTAAGAATTTTAACTTCTATTTCTGGGAACATCGGTGATACATCTACCCATGCAGTGAGAGTTGAAAATGAAATGGGTTTGGGGAATGGGAGTGTATGATGAGGAAAAATTCCTAATGTCTCCTGTTTCAGATTGAGTTTTTGGTCTTGAGAATTT